AAAGGGAGGGATGGAAGAAGTAAAAGGGAGGGAGGGAGGGAGGGAGGGAAGAAGGAAGGGAGGAAGGAAGGAAGGAAGGAAAAGAAAGGAGGGATGGAGGAAGTAAAAGAAAGGGAGGGAGGGGGCAGGGAGGAAGGGAAGGAAGTAAAAAAAGGGAATGAAGGAAGAAGGAAAGAGGAAGAAAGGAAGGAAAAAAGGAGGGAGGAAGGAAGGAAGGAAGGAAAAGAAAGGGAGGGATGGAAGAAGTAAAAGGGAGGGAGGGAGGGAGGGAGGGAAGAAGGAAGGAAGGAAGGAAAGAAAGAAGGAAAAGAAAGGAGGGATGGAGGAAGTAAAAGAAAGGGAGGGAGGGGGCAGAGAGGAAGGGAAGGAAGTAAAAAAAGGGAATGAAGGAGGAAGGAAAGAGGAAGGAAGCAAAGGAAGGAAGGAAAAGAAAAGGGAGGGAGGAAGGAAGGAAGGAAGGAAAAGTAAAGGAGGGAGGGAGGGGGGAAGGAAAAGACAGGGAGGGAGGGGGCATGGAGGGAGAGAGGAAGGGAAGGAAGGAAGGAAGGAAAAGAAAGGAGGGATGGAGGAAGTAAAAGAAAGGGAATGAAGGAGAAAGGAAAGAAGAAGGAAGGAAAGGAAGGAAGGAAAAGAAAAGGAGAGAGGAAGGAAGGAAAAGAAAGGGAGGAAGGAAAAGAAAAGGAGGGAGGAAGGACGGAAGGAAGGAAGGAAGGAAGGAAGGAAAGAAAAGAGAGGAAAGAAAAGAAAAGAAAGGGAGGGAGGTAGGAAGGAAGGAAGGAAAAGAAAAGTGAATCAGATTGAATCTCTCCTGGCACCTCAAAGCAACTCTCTCCAAGCTGATTCCACCCACCCACCCACCCCCACGTGCTGGACTACAACTCCCATCGCCCCCAGCCAGCCAGGGCCTTCCGCTCCTGCTTCTCCCTCTGCCTGAACTGGATTTTCCCAAGCGGCGTCCGGAGGCCGGCCGGCCTGCGGATGCTCAGAGCCCCCCCCCAGCGAAGGCAGGTAGAGGCCGTCCAGCAGGATGCTAGCCCCCATCAAGGAGGGAATAAGGACGATATCGCTGGCTCCCCCTCCCACTTTATTTCCCCCCCCCGTGAAAACAGCCCCTCTCGTTTTATCCGTGGCATAAAACGCCAGGGGTCTGCTGGCAGAAAGTGAGGGGTGGGGGGCCTTTGAGCCCCTTTGGGGAGGGGGGAGAATGCCAAGGGTCAAGGGGGACTCACTTTGGGTCAATCGCGTACAAGGAGCCGTCCACCCACGTCCAGGTGCCACTCTCGTCGGTCAAGCCGATCCAGGTGTCGCCTCCCCGCCTGCTGTCCTTCACGAAGGCCTGGCGGGAGAAAACAGGCGTCCATTCACACACCAAAACGGATTTCCAGCAAAATTCCTGGAGGGACAAACCCACCACCTCCGGGCGGAGCGAGGGAGCGCGGCGGGAAGCCCGTGCGGGAGAAGTACAGGGCAGGTCCTCGCCTTAGGACGGCAGCCGAGCCCCGAATTTCTGTCGCTAGGCGAGACGTGGGTTAAGTGAGCTTTGCCCCGTTCGAGTGGATCCCTGGTGTCCTTAAGCGAGTAACACGGTCGTTAAGCGAATCCGGGTTCCCCGCGGACTTGGCTTAGTCGCAAAAGGGGACCGATCGCGGGACCTCACGGACGCTGCGACTGTCATAACTACGAGGCAGTTGCGCCAAGCGTCCGAGTTTGGATCGCGTGACCACAAGGTCTCAGTCACTGGTCTGAGACGGTATAGGTCCTCCTGCTTGAGCGGGTGGCTGGACTAGAAGACCTCTAAGGTCCCTTCCAGCTTTATTCTATTCTATTCTATTCTATTCTATTCTATTCTATTCTATTCTATTCTATTCTATTCTAATTCCTTATTTCTACTGTATTCTATTCTATTCTTTCTATTTCTCTTCTAGTCTAGTCTAGTCTAGTCTATTCTTCTCTTCTCTTCTATTCTATTCTATTCTATTCCATTCCATATTCTATTCTATTCTATTCTATTCTATTCTATTCTATTCTATTCTATTCCTTATTTTTATTCTATTCTATTCCTTATTTCTATTGTATTCTATTCTATTGTATTTCTATTATTCTCTTCCCTTCTCTTCTCTTCTCTTCTCTTCTCTTCTCTTCTATTCTATTCCTTATTTCTATTTTATTCTATTCTCTCTGATTGATTGATTGATTGATTGATTCATTCATTCATTCATTCATTGATTAATTGAAATGGTATATAGGGTCTCCTGCTTGAGCAGGGGGCTGGACTAGAAGACCTCCAAGGTCCCTTCCAGCTCTATTCTATTCTGTTCTGTTCTGTTCTGTTCTGTTCCATATTTCTATTCTATTCTATTCCTTATCTTTTCTTTTCTTTTCTTTTCTATTCTATTCTATTCTATTCTATTCCTTATTTCCTATTCTATTCTATTCTATTCCTTATTTTTATTCTATTCTATTCTATTCTTTATTTCTATTCTATTCTATTCCTTATTTTTATTCTATTCTATTCTTTATTTCTATTCTATTCTATTCCTTATTTTTATTCTATTCTATTCTTTATTTCTATTCTATTCTATTCTATTCTATTCCTATTTCTATTCTATTCTATTCTATTCTATTCTATTCTATTCTATTCTATTCTATTCCTTATTTCTATTCTATTCTTTCTATTTCTATTATTCTCTTCTCTTCTCTTCTCTTCTCTTCTCTTCTATTCTATTCTATTCTATTCTATTCTCTTCTCTTCTATTCTATTCTATTCCTTATTTCTATTCTATTCTATTCTCTCTAATTGATTGATTGATTGATTGATTGATTGATTGATTGATTAATTGAAATGGTATATAGGTTCTCCTGCTTGAGCAGAGGGCTGGACTAGAAGACCTCCAGGGTCCCTTCCAGCTTCTATTCTATTCTAAGGATGCTGCGACGGTCGTAAGTGTGAAAAACGGCCGCTAAGTCCCTTTTTTCTTCAAGCAGTTGTAACTTCGGTCACTAAACAAACCGCTGCAAGTCCGAGGACTGACTGTCAGGGCCGAGAGTTGCAAAGGCCGGGCAGAGAATGGCGGGGAGCCTATGAGGAGCAAGGGGGGCCACCCTGCCCTCTCTCCTGCCCCCTGCTGGAGACCCAGGGAACCGCCCAGCCCAGCCCAGCCCAGCCCACCTACTTTCTCCTCCGCCGAATTGATGATCACCAGGTGGGACTTCTTCTCCTCGCAGTCTTTTTTGGCCCCCTGCCAGCTGTTCCTCGACTGGGTTGTCCAGTAGCAGCTGGAGCGGAAGGTCAGCCAGCCTCGGGGACAGCAGCCACTATTGCTCCCTGTCGGCGGAGAGGGAAGAACCAGAGCCAAAAAAAAAAAAGAGGTTGAGACTTTGGGAAAAAGTGCAGAGAAGAGCAACAAAGAGGATTAGGGGACTGGAGGCTAAAACATATGAGGAACAGTTGCTGGAATTGGGGATGTCTAATTTAATGAAGAGAAGGACGAGGGGGGACATGATAGCCGTGTTCCAATCTCTCAGGGGCTGCCCCAAAGAAGAGGGAGTCAAGCTATTTTCCAAAGTGCCGGAAGGCAGGAGAAGAAGCAACGGATGGAAACTAACCAAAGAGAGAAGCAACCTAGAACTAAGGAGAAACTTCCTGACAGTCAGAACAATTAACCAGTGGAACAACCTGCCTCCAGAAGCGGTGAATGCTCCAACACTGGAAGTTTTTAAGAAGAGACTGGACAGCCATTTGTCTGAAATGGTATAGGGTTTCCTGCCTGAGCAGGGGGTTGGACTAGATGACCTCCAAG